TCAATTTATTGTTCTGAGTACAGAAATAAATAGACACGCAGTTCAAATATATAGACATCCCTCCACCGGTTCTTAAGTTTAATTTGAGTTGGGTTTTGCTATAAACGTTCCTCTTTTACGTTCGCTGTTAAAAGGCTACAAATTGTTATAAGAGCCTACCTCCCAAATGATTCGTAAGGTGATTTATACTTTATATGTAATATATTTTATTTTCTTTCCCGAAATAAAAAATTAATTCTTTATTTTTTTTTGTAGATATTGTATATTTAAAGTTGACCTTTATGTAACTTTTAATGTAATTTCGTAAATAAAATTTTCTTATAACGTAAACTTATATTTAAAATTATACTTATTAAATGTTAGAAAAAATAAATCATACAGTATCTCTTCTAATATAAAATGTGAAAAAATACCATAATATATCAATATAATTTGACTTTCAGTACTCTAACAATAATATGCTAATAGTATAATAATTAAAACATTAAAATTAGTGAAGCTTTGACGCATTTGATAAACATATTTTTTATCGTTTAAGTTATAAGAAAATAATAAAGAAAGGGTACATATGAAGACAGAATTCTGTTTTCGGTTTAATAAGTATATTCATGGTCTCGAATACATTCCAAATAATCAGCTCATAAAAAATTGTATAGATTACACTGAAAGAAACTGCTAAATAAACTTAGAAGTGGAGTAGTGTAAATCTTGGCATAACAGATTTTTAAAAGTAAACTGAAGCCAAACGTTGACCTAAATTCGAGCTAAGGATTATTTATACAAATTACTGTAACTTTTGTTAGCAATACTTCAAGTAAAGGTTGGTGGTACTTACGTAAAAAATTGTCAATTTTAAAATATTCTACAATTCTAGTGTGATAGAACCTATAGCATAGAAAAAAGGATGGTAGTTCACCCGCGTTGCCATAACTAGAAAAATATATTACAATTACTTTTATAAATCACACCTCAAAGTTTGGCAATCACTTTAACAAAATCTCTTTAGAAAGGACTTTTTTTATGTTAATAAATATTATCCCTACTAATATTATAAATGCGAAAGTAACTGTCTGTCTGTCTGTCTGTCTGTCTGCTACGCTTTCACGCCTAAACCACTGAACTGATTTTAATGAAATTCGGTACAGAGATAGAGTTGACCTTGAGAAAGAACATAGGATAGTTTTTATCCCAGACTTTTGAAAGGTTCTCTTGGAAACGCGATATAACCGAACTCCACGCGGCGAAGCTGCGGGCGGAAAGCTAGTAATATAATAAAATACATATTAATGTTTGAGAATAAGATTGACAGGGATTGATTTCTCATTTATGTCTACTTTAATTTGTACTTTTATATCAAAAGTAGTCATTTCAAATTATGATCAACATTCATTGTAACGTCGAATGTTATTATCTTATCAAATGACTAATGTTTGAAACAGTTTGACGTAAAAAAATGGTCAAGAATATTACATAAAGTACTTCTTACTTAATTAGTTAAAAATATAGTGAAAAGTAAACACGAACATTTTATTAAAACGTCGGATATTATCAACTTATCAAATGACATGAATATAGTTTGGAATATAACTTATAAAATTTGTAGAATATTAACAAGTTACAAAACATTAATTTTCAAATTATTTTCCTTCCGATTTAACTAGCCTTCGAAATAACTTAAATATGGGGTTCCAAGTCGGATGTAAATCCAATATTTCCTTTTACTAAATGAACGGCTTTGACAAAGATAACATCAAGTTTGTTCCTCTATATCTGAAATCAATGTATGAAAGACTTATATGTTTCAAAGTAAAGATTACCAGACTTACATGTACAACTGTTAGATTCTGCTTATTTTGAAAGAAACACTATATATCCAACTAAAGATAAATATATGAGTTCCATTAAATTTTATATCATTATACTATGATACCTCGTATCTACGAGGTAGGCGAGTATCTACTCGCCTTACTATGTATAACATTCCGTTACTATGAAAAGCTTAAATAACCGCCTCACTGTACTAATTTATTCCTCAATAATTTCTTTTACTTTAGTAATTGACATATTATTATAGTGACGTGCTCAGTATCGGCAGTTCGTGGCATACAGGATTCATTGGTATCGATTGGTAAGTGTTCGTATTTGTAAACAATTCAGGCAGAAAAGCTGGGAAGGTCGGTAAAAGCTTTTAAAACGTCACATTGAATCCCAAACCAATCAAACATCAAGTAAGATTTTGAAATGCAATTTCTTCAAATATTTTTGTTTACAGTGGACTTACTGAGTTACGAGTTTTTCAACTGTTAGATTAATTATCATAGTATAATATGCCTTTATTAATAAATTAAGATACAACAGTAATAAAGCATTCAAGAATGCCAGGTGACATTTATATCAGTTTTAATAATAAAGAATAAATATCCACCTTAAACTTTTACATCTTCTACATATATAAAAATGGATTGCTGTTCCTTAGTCTCGCTAAAACTCGAGAACAGCTGAATGGATTTGTCTTATCTTAGTCTTTGAAATGTTCGTGGAGGTTCAGGGAAGATATAAAAGGTGAGAAAAATTGGAATAATTGCCGGGAAAACCCTAAAAACAGCCCTTTTCTATTTCCCATACAAACGCTTTTTTTGACATTAGATTTGACAACTAACTAATATGTCAATCATTCTGTTTGATTGAAACAGGAAAAACCTGATTATTTATGGCCTCTAAGACGAAATAGAGTTCGCCTGGTCAGCTATACATATATTACTAATGACGAAACTAACGCGGACGAAGTCGCGGGCAAAAACTAGTATGTAATATAATTATATTAATAAAATATATGAAATTTAATTTCTCGTATTACTTAGTTATCTGTTTATTTCTAAACAAGTCAAGTAATAACATTATTGGTAGATACTAAAAATATTGATATCTAAGACTTTAGCGAGTATACAATTACGCCACGGGCAAAAGTATTAGGCACCCTACAGTAAGACAAGTTTTAGGGTGTTTTAGCATAGCGAGTGTAAATAAAATTGCATTTATGATTACAATGGTTTATTTTAAGAAAATAATTAATATTTTGTAGGTCCACCTTTTGATTTAATAACCGCAGCCACTCTTTTTGGCATTGACTCTACCAGCCTGAAACATTCTTCTCTTGATATATTAATCCATTCCTGCTGTAACGCGGTCAATAGAGCTTGTTTATTGCTAATCGAGTGCCTGCGGATATTTTTCTTTAAAATGGACCAAATATGCTCAATCGGGTTGAGGTCTGGTGATTGTGGTGGCCAGTCCAAAAGATCAATATGATTTTCAGCAAACCACTTCATGGTATGCGCGGACTTGTGGCAAGTGGCGTTGTCTTGCTGAAATTTCAGGCCATCGGTGTTTGTATCACCGAAAATTTGCGTTATCGACGTTGCTAGTGCTGTTTCCAGAACTTCAGTGTATTTAACACTATTCATTCGTCCCTCACACAACACCATTTCGCCCACTCCGTCGGCAGCCATGCAGCCCCAGATCATTATTGAGCCTCCACCATGCTTAACAGTGGGAACCACACATTCTGGGTTGTATTCTTCGCCAACCCTTCGCCTAACATAAGTCACACCGGGTGTTCCAAACACCTATGCCAAACGAAAAAAACACATTTATTTTCAAAGTTATTATTTTTCATGCAGTACGTTATTTTAAAAACATTTATGTGTTTTAATATTGTACATAAAATAAATAACAATACCTCAAAGTTAGATTCGTCTGACCACAGTATGTTGGACCAATCTTCCACTGACCAATCTCTATGTTTGAGTGCCCACTCCAACCGATTTTTCTTATTGTGTTCTGACAGCCACGGCTTCTTCCTTGCTTTACATCCTTTTAATCCAGCTTTAAGAAGTCTTCTTCTCACAGTATAAACACTCACTGAGCTGCCTTTTGCCTCAGATAATGCTGCAGCGAGCTCTAAAGCAGTTTTTTTCCTGTTTTGTAGAGACTGCCTAATCAACAATCGATCTTCCCGTTCAGTAGTAACTTTTCTTCTGCCTGTTCTTGGTCTATTTTCATGGGTGCCAGTCTCTTTGAAGCGATTTATAGCATATTGAACTGCACATCGCGAGCACTTCACTTCTCGGGCTATTTTAACCTGAGACATGCCTTGTTCATGTAAAATCTTAATTCTTAGACGCTGTTCAGCACTAAGTTCAGATTTTTTCGGCATGATTAACACGTTAAATGTTAGTCTTTAGAATTGTGATAGGAATAGTTGCGTAGAAGACGTGTATGTTCACTGCAAGCACTGATAACACACTATAACCCGAAACGCAAAAAAAGCAAATTCGAAGAAACACCGCTTAGGAGCACACCTGGATGTCATAAATATTTTCTTTTTATCTTAATTTGGTTAAAAATTGCCGCTAATACAATAGCTAAACCATAAAACACAGACTTGACCGCAATATAATGAGATAGTGACTAACAATAGGGGTGCCTAATACTTTTGCACGCAGCTGTATATGAAACTAAAATTTCAGATAGACTACGCTTTTTTATTATTTTAAAACTACATACAACGTTTCGGTTTCGTTTATAAAAAAGAAAGTCACACGCGGAGGAGATGGAAATGCGAATACGCACAGCATTCTGTATTATCAGGAACCGAATAGGCGAGGACCCGCTTTTAAGGCCACGAATGCACCAAAGTATCCGTCGGTGATTGTAACAATATGTAGACAGAGAAGGTCAGCATATTGAGCAATGCAAAATCTAGGTAAGTTTAATATTATTTAAATGTATCATAATAATACCTTAAACATTTCGAGGACATTAAAATTAAAAATAACACTAAACGAGTGTGGAACAAAATTAATAAGTTCAGAAGGCCCACTCTTTCCTAAAACTACTTTCTACCGCGTTCAACGAACGTGTTACCATTGTGACGGTATTATTATTTTAAAAATTATAATGATTAAGAAATATCTAGGTATTGTTAAAATACTATCTACCTGAAGTCTGTGAGGATGTTATTTGAACATTGTGGATGTTCTGTTCCCTGTAGAAGAAGGCGATGTTACTGAGTGGCTGTTGATCATCAGGATGGTTCGGCAACATGGCTTCCAGACATTCAGCCAAACGTGTCCTGAAATGAGGTTATATTGAATACAGATATGTAAAATAACAAATATAAATTGTTACTTAAAATTATCAAATCGGGTCATGATTTCATTTCTTCAATGGAGACCTCATTATTTTGGTCAATAACTTTCTTGACAATTAATTACATTTGGTTAACAACTTTATTTTAATAGGACAAAAAAGAAATTAAAGACAAAAAAGAAATTAATTCATTAGGACAAAAAAGAATATAATATTTTTATTTACTGCCTCACATGTTAAAAAATGCTAAGTATATATTATACCGATGTCATAAACAAAAACACAAGAGACATTCTTCTTCTTCTAAGTCGATACGTTCTTGGCAGAACGGTCGTGGTCATCATGATGTGCGGTGGCACGCATCACAACACGTCGCCACTCGTCTAACTTGATGATGACTTTCTTGGGAATATAGTGCAGTGGTTTCCCCTTGCCTTCTGCACCAGACATTTTAGGAGCTATTTAAACTCCAAGGTCGCTGTAGCCTCTTCCTACAGAAGATGACGTAGATACTTCAGTAGGGCGTATGGTTATACCGCCATTGCCTCGTCCGTTATCTAGGAGTACTCCTGTAGAGAAAAGCGGACCAGGTTTCAAAGCTTTGGCTATAGCCTCTGCTCTGGTTGGAGATTTAGCTCGAGTGTTTATTGTAGTCATAGCACAGAATTATTATGATGAAATTTTTTAAATAAAACTAATAAATCATTTTACAAAAAAAAAAAAGACAAAGAGAGTAAAAAATGAAATAAGTTTCTGAAAAATAATTTTCTTTTCAGCATATAGATATATTAGCTTAGGCTTAAGCTTGAGGCTCTGGTAAGTAGTAAAAAAATTATTAATAACTTCAAATGCGGATTATATGTTCGTGTTGAATTACCCATGAATGTCAATACAAGCGTGAGGGCGGGTAGTAATAACCCGGCCATGTCCGCTTCGTCGGTGATAGCGCCCACAGTACGGCGGGACATTGTTATCAATACAACAACATTCTCCAATACAAACTCTGGAATGCATCTGGATTTTTATTAGAAATCTATCAGATTAACAGATTATAAACCAAGTAATAATTGATATTGTAACAAGTTAAAAAGATGAGAATAAATTGTTTGTTATAATATACAAAATAAGTAAATGATATTTACAAATTTATGTGTATAAAAAAAAGTTTGGATCATATGTAAATAATTTAAATTCCATATTTTCCAATAGAAGTATGAACGGATATATTTTAATTTATGTTAATAAACTGTTATTATTTCAGTCAAACAACGAACATTCGTTGTTTATAATATAATTTTCCGTTTATAACATAGTTTTGGTTCAATAGAATTTGGTTTGGTTAATATAATTTTGGTTCAGTCTACATAGATTGAAGCAAAATTATATTATAACGGAATTCTTTAAATACCTCAATGTGTCAGGCGGTGGGGTGGTGATTGGCATGTCTATTTGCATCATAGTGTTTGGTGCGTAATTGCCAACGGTGGCTGCACGTGCCGCTACCTACACCAGCCACGTACAGGTAGTGGCCTGCAGACGATGGAGGTTAGCCAGCATCTTCTCCAGGAGACGACAGCCGAACGTTACAAATCTGAAACGTTTGGTTTAATACATGAATATTACATGGCTATACAATAAAAAACAAAGATTTTACTACATATTGAAGAACAAATACATACTTATGGAACAGAATAATTAACATTTTCTTTGATACTTTATGGGCAGCTATTGTGGAAACAGAAGTTAATGCAGTATTAAATAGCTTAATTTGCTATTAATAAACTCAAGTACTACTTAGGTATTACGATGGTAAGTAGCATAAATATAAAGTTTTTAAATTTGTGTAATTGGAGTTAACATTCACTTGCTAAGGTGTAATACCGCCATGATCACTTATATCCTAGCCTAAACCGTGGTTTAAATGAATGAAACTTTCATCTAACTTAAGAAAGCAAATCCTTGTGAGTAGACCTTCTGTATTTCTGTATTTTATAACAAACTGTATAAATTGCTTAATTCATCAACTTAGTAAGGGACGTTACCTAATTTAGAGAAGCAATTAAAAGTTGAATATGGTTATAAAGGTGTAAAAGCCACGAAAAATTAGAGGCCTAGAAGCTATGAGAATTTCTTAAAATTATGTTACATAAAATAAAATCCATCTTAGTGGGTAAAGAGGTTATTATTTTCTTTATTATGATAACGAAACTCTGATATGTTTCCTCGGTAAAATCACCACACCTCGAAGTTTATATCACACGTAATGTGATAATTTATACATATAAAGTTACTTTCCAGTCGATGTTCTTATTAATTTTTATTAAACGTGTTTAATTTATGCTTCACAATAAGGATATACCTACTATATAATTGTTTTGTCGCAGTAGCTAGTAGGTACATTTTTTAAATTTGACTATGTAATAAAAGATATAGTTGATAACAACTAAAAAATAAAAAGGAAGAATAAACCTTTTTTTTCTATATATATAGATGTATATAAATTTAAAAACATCGAAAAAGTTGATCATATTAGAAATGGTTTCCTGGATTTGTTCCTTTTTATACAAATAATTGTAAGTAAGTAAAACTCAAATGAAAAAACTATAATGTATCAATAAACAATCCGATTTCAAGAAGTACTGGATGTATTGGAAGTGTATATCCTTTAAAATAAGGACCTTGCTGAGTAAATATTTTTAGAGGTAAAATGTTGTATTCGTTATTGAATTAACACTTAACTTTTAACAAGATTAGAATTTCAATATAGTCAAGTAGAAACAGATGTGTTTATTTGTATTCAAACCCGAGCTCTTGAGCTCCGAATTTAGTTACTGATATAAATTTATGCGATAGTTCAGAAAGCTCAACTCCATATTAATATTTAATAACTAAAATTATAACTTTAACATGGAATATTTAAGTGAATTTAGACCTTTAATTTAGTTGAAATGACTTTCTGGTGTTATATTAAAATAGGCCTAGAACTCCAATTTTAATCTTAATTACTTTCGTGTATTTCGATAATACAGACTTATAATATATATGTATTATTTAAATTATATGAACACTTTATCACATTATATTAATTGATCTATCCAGTTAAATTTTCTAATCTTCAGAACATTTATTCAAAGAGACTTCAGTAGTACTTACAAAAACTATCTTCCCTTCATAACACAATATACACAATGTTATTAATTTTTGTTTATTTTTATAAAGCCTTCACACATTGATTTGAGAATTGAATGACTGTTGTAGTAAATATTCCTATACTATCAGATGACATTCGTTTTTCAACTACCTTCTTATATTATTAAATAATATTTGCAACATTAAGTTCACAGATTAATATCGACAATTACAAGATATATTACTAATCTATAATCTTGATAATATTCTAGAAATAAAATGAATTAATTTAGATTATAAATTTTGTAGAAAGATTAGTTGAAATTATTGAGATAGCAATAACCATTTAATAACCAGTATAATTTTTTAAAATTGTTTTACTTTTAGATTTATACAATTTTAGTTTAGATGAATATTAACAAATATGAAAATATTATACAAATTGAAAAATAAATTAGTCATGTATGGAAGTCATAAAAATTTAACTCTGTAAACGGTTCTAGATATTGAAAAAATATTTTTTTGAAAAGCTACGAGATAAAATTGCGACAGATAGTTTAAATAAAATATTTTGTCATTAAATTTAAGATTATAAAAAATTGATATAAGGTAAGTCGAATACAACTATGAAGTAATAATAAAAAATATAAAAATGTTTGTTTTTTATACATTATTTCGGATTTCTTTTAATTATTTTCGGATAAAACATAAAATATTATTAAAATAAGATTAAATATGTTTTGATTTATAACATTTAGTTAGTATTATGCGTACAAACGTAGCTTTAAATAAGGACCCAATGGACCCAATTACAGGTACACTCCACGATGCATAACGGTCGGTTTGACAAGTTTAGTAACGTTTAGGCTTATTTATACATCATGACATACAAAACTATCTAAATATAGATTATTATTAATTAACAATCATAATATTGGTATATATCAAGACGAATCAAAATTCTATTCAAATAATTGCTGCTTACATATTAAAGACTTTTTCTTTACGATCTACTTCTTCTTCTACCTGGCAATTTCCCAGCTTTAGCCAGGGTCTGCCTTACATGTTGTGAATAGTTATGGCTAATTGTTTTTACGACCGGCCGCCTGCCTAACCATCAATCCTCTTTTGGGAATGCATTAATCAGTGATGTCTAAATACTCTTAGAAAGTACATATGACTCGGAAAAATCACATTGATACTTGCCCGGGCGAGGATCGAACCCGCGCCCTCGTGCATGAGAGGCGGGCCCTTTAACCACTAGACCACCACTGACTACTTCTACCTACTACTATTACTTGTACCTCTAATTCCTCGTGTTTATATTCAGGGATAATATCATCAGGTGAATCCATTGGATGCTAAGATTTTTTTTTAGTCAAATTGAAGTATTCAGTTGGAGATGACTGAAATATTAAAAATATAATTTTATACAAAATATAATTATTTAGTATCTAACAAAAAATACAGAAAAGTTGTTTTTTTTTAAACCAAAACGCACAAAGCTTTATCTTTCCGCTACTCTTCAAAATTATAACTGTAAATTTAAATAACAATGAAGCACAAAATTCGATGTGAATAGATTTCCACAAAATTTCCCAAACAAATCATATGATGTAGCTTTCAAAATATCTATTAAGCTGCATCGAAGCAACTTAGTTCAGTGTGCTTTAAAATCGTTAGGAATTAATTGTATTATCTATTTAATATGTGTGAAAATAGCACGTAGTCTGGTACTGAATCATGTTCTCAGTGGGGTGAAAGATAAATAATAAAGTATAGAACTAACTACACGACACACTAATCAAGGTATACACTGGGTGACAACCATATTTTGCATATTTATAACACACTAATAGACTTTAGACAAATTTAGAAATTAATTCTCTTTAATACAATTTAAACGGAAATAACATGTTTTCTCTATTTTTACTATCTATATATATAAAAGAAAGTCGTGTTAGTGACTTCACTTATAACCCAAGAACGGCTGAACCGATTTAGCTGAAAATTGGCAGGGAGGTAGTTTAGAACCAGGAAATTGCAATAGGATACTTTTTATCCCGTTCGACAGCATTCCCGTGGGACTTGACATGAAACGTCAGTCATTATAAAACGTGGAATAATACAATTCACAGCTATGCAATTGACGTATAATGACAAATATGTAATGACGTATGGATGACAATTAGATATTTGTAAGAAATCTACTATATAAAAATAAAAATATTTAGGTAATGTGTTTGTAGCTTGAACTCTTAAAACCATTTAGTATTTGCGGGATAAATTTAGAAAATCATTGTTTTTCACATGGGCAGTTATATTTTGCGTGTTCACGAGTTTGGAAACCATCCGCTTTATTTGTGTTAAAGTTAGACCAAAAAACAAAAAATGTGGTTTACAAATGAGCACTTCAATGAAACGGATAATTAGCGGACACGTATAACGCTTCGATTCGGTATCTACTTTGGATTCACTTTCAAATAAAAATTTTCCTTTTCAAATATAAAACAAAAAATTCTTCATCTTTTAATCACCAAACGAAATGTTATATAAAAAGCTCTGGTGGCGAAACGGAGTTCGCCAGGTTTACTAGTTATTAATAAATTGACAACAATACTATTGAATTATGGAAACGATATTAATTAATATATATAAGTTGTAATTAGTTATGTTCTTTTAAATGAACTCCATATTTTATTAAGGATAAATAGTGTGAAACACAGTCATTTTGCTCTTAACTTTACTTTTAATAACCCAAGTTAGACAACGTTATATAGTTCAAGACATCTACGTACGATAATGAGATTTACTTACATTTTAACGTTTCATTATACAACATAGCTTATTATTTAACCGTGCAATTGGTATTGTTTTAGTAAAAAACATACATATATTAAACATAAATATACAGTTATTTCAGTGGAGAAGTATAAATAAGATAGGAAAAATCTCTCAAGTTTTGTAATTTAGAACATGGATAAGATGTATTTAAGGATTTAACTTCTATACTACCTTATTTTTTTATCTTCGGTTCATATCGTTTCGAATTACAGTTGCGCAATGACTTGAGTGAAGAGTGAAACGTGTTTGGTGAAGCAACAAAGGCCAAAGAGGAGGTGGGAATGAAAAGAATGTACTCATTGTACATTGAAAATAAAATATATAAAAGAAAACAAATACACACAAACGCCACGTATAAATAAAAGTAAATATTTTCAAGTATCTACTTGTATTATATGTATATTTTTTTTTTGCCGTGATAACGTCTTTAAAATCGTTTTAGTCGGGTTACATGTTCAGAAACTTGTGTCACACCAAAAAACTCA